ACTTCGTTATTGAACTTAAATTAAATTATAATTAAAAAAATTTGAATTAAAAAAAATATAAAAAATGAGGAATTTTAAATAGTTAATTTGATACTAATATCGATATAATTTTGTCAAATTTTTATGATATCTTTAAATTTGTATTTTATTCAAAAATAAAAACATCATCGCTTTTTTAAAATCACATAAAACCGTATTATAACATCGATTGAGATAAAAAATAAAATAAAATATTAAAATTAAGATATATCTCGTTGCATTGCACGAGTACCTATGAAAATTTTGCATGCCCTATGTCCGAAAGATTTGCGAATCCCTACTGCGTTTGTTAAAACTTGAACTATTTCTGTCTTTTCAAAATAATAAAAAAAATGGGGTAAAAAAACACAGCCAATTAACAATTATATAATTTTATTATTTTGTAATAAAAATTAAATTAAATAAGTATAATGAAATTGTGTGAACTATATTTTAAAACTATTAAAGCTATATCTTATACAATTTTATACGGATTATATAAAGTTTTATAAAGGTGTAATTTATGAATAAAAACACGTATTTTTAATGTATTTTAAGTTATAGTTATCATTAATTAATTAATATAATAAAAAGTATAAATGAAAAATAAAACGGTACGAAAAGACAAAACTAGAAAAAAAAAATAGGGACTAAAATTGTAATTTACTCTATGATCAAATAAAACAAAAAGAGGAAAAAGATAAAAAAGTTAACTAACTTATTTAACTATAGTTAGTCAAAGAGACCAAAAATTGAAATAAAATGATAACATGACCAAAATTGTAATTAGTTTAAAAAAAGGAACCAAACTTGATAGTGTGTGATAATCATAAAGACCAAAAATGTAATTTCTAAAATAAATTACATTTTTGGTCCCTACGGTTTACCTAAATTCATATGTGCATTTTAAAAATGAAATAATTATGAAAAAAGTCCTTGTGGTTTACTTTTTTATCACATATTGGATGCCTCCAAAATTCTGTAACGCTTCCTACTACTAACCCTCATTAATAACTTCTGATAAGTGAGAGGTAATTTGGCATTTTTATCATTTTTTGTCTTTTCCCTTTAAAAATAAACAAAATAAAACACACACACACACACACACATATATATATATATATATATGTATGGAAAAGTTCATTTAAGAAGTGATAAATATTTGATAAGTAAAGAAGTGATCTTTGCATTTTACCTGGTCAATATTTGTGGCTTTGACCGTGAAGCACCAGATAATTCTCGCATGAGTATGCGAAAGATGGAGGGTAATTTCACAACTTTTACAAATAGGCATCAAACGGGTTCATATGTAACTCATGTGATACACATATAAACTATATGTTTATATGTGAACATGTTAATTAGTTCACATGTAAACTATTTAATTGATTCATATATGAACCTACAAGTTTATATATGAATCAGTTAATTAGTTCATATATAAATTAGTTAATATAGAATCATACAGTTTTATATGTGAATCGGTTAAAATAATTTATATGTGAATTACAAGAGTTGATATATATATATAAACTATTGTTTGTCCTCTATTTGTAAAAGTTACGAAACTATCATCTCTATTTTTCATATAGCCGCAATTTTTGACCAGTCAAAGCCGTAATTTTTTGACCAGTCAAAGCCACAATTATTGACCAGTTAAAATCGCAATTATTGATCAGTCAAATCCGATCTTTGACCGTATGAAGGGCTATGATCACTTATTTACTTCTTAAATATTTACCACTTTTAAAAATAATCTTTGGCTATATATATATATATATATATATATATATATATATTTGTAAAAGTTACAAAACTACCATCTCTATTTTTCAATGTACCCAAATAAACCTAAAATCAAAGACATGTGGAGTTTGTCTTACTCTTCATTGATTTACATCTCCATTTCCAGATCGTGGATTCTGAGATAGAGACAAAGGGTCGTAGGATTGTGAGATCGAGACGAACGATCAATTGGCATGGAGGAGGGGTTGGCTTCATGAAGTGGGGATGTGGTGTGGTCGAACAGATATACATGTATTTAGGTTTGTTCATCGGTTGACATCCATTGGATGTGAGGGGAATCAAACCGATCCAATCATCCATTGGATGTTAGATTTTGCCAACCGACCCAATATAATTCAATGGATGATTGGATTGGTTCAGTTCCATCAATTGGATATTTTTATTGGATATCCATTGGATGATCTGAAAAGATTGAGTCCATCTTGTATGTTAATTCAATCCAATTCTCTAACAATGATACAAATTATTTAATCACTTTTAATATGTGTTAAAACTAACACAAGAGAAGTTAAAAATTCAAAGCTTCACATAAAACAAATTCCGATTTAAGCAATTTGAAAATAAATTAATTGGATAATATGTAACACCCTTGTCCCGCGTGGCCGGAGGATGGTGTGTTACGGAGGAAAACATAACAAGATAAATAGGTAATATAAATACAGGATAATTAGAGCTACTATGAACATCCATCAAAAGTAGGTGGTAGACTAAAAGTTAAGACAACATGGATACAGTTACAATATATACATAATCAAAAACTACTATATTATCCAAGGTCGTCTTCAAAATAGTCATATTTCATCGCTCTCAGTCCCGTGATAATCCCACCTACGATCATGTACCTGCCGAGGACAAAACAAACCTCGGCTGAGCCAAATGCTCAGTGAACGGATAATTAAAATAACAAAATTGCAAGTATAAATCGAGTTAATAAAAGATAATTATTATAAGGAATCCGAAAACCAGAACAGGAAGAAATCAATTAATAATTTACATGAAATGTCCATACTGAAATAACTTAAAATAATATCATTAAGTCAAGAATTGAGAAATAAATAAGAAAATCAATTGGGTTCGAGGGTTGTACGGACCACTCGAATAATGGAAAATGAATGTAGGACAATACACTCAATTTCCTTCCGATAATCGGCTCCCGCCCGATAACGGTTCTTAGGATCGATCAATTCGCCCTCAAATTAGCCGGTACCAGACCAGACCCACTTATTGACATTGGGGTATAATAGCGAGGACGCCATGACAATTTATAGCCGCCATGAAGGCGTCACGACATCATTGCCCTCGATGTCGTGCCT